GGTTTTTTCGGGAGGGCTTTTTGCCGTTTTATGAAAGAATATGGTCTGTCAGGACAGTACCTGCTTGTCGGGGAAACATTTCACTTATTTAGCCGCTTTTTCGTTTATACTCGAGGGTTGATTTGGCAAAAAATGTACCATACGCACAATGAGAGTGCTACGCTGTGCGCTCTTTCGTTTCACGGTCTTATCGGGCCACGAAAAAAATGAAAAGACTTTTTCGAGCTCGCGTCAGCGACACGCGCATTTTTTGGAACGATGATAACGCGATAAGCGGCGTAAAGTCAAGCGAGCAATTGAAATCAAAGTGCTTTTTTTTAAATTGATGTGAAAAACTAATTATTTTAAAATTTCTTAAATTCTGTTTGCAATTATTACGCTTAAAATCCAATGTATATTAAAACCAAACCTCAAAACAAATTTCAAACTTTCCTCTCTTCGCATATTCTTACAACTCCCAACAGATGCTAACCTAAAACTCATCCAAGCTTTAAATTTAAACGCTTTAACAGTTTCACGGTTGCCCTAAGTTTTATTTGCTTTCGTTAGCAAAGTACCGAATTTGATGAATAAAGCGAATTGTTTTTAAAGATTTTTAAAGTAATCCAACTTTACTAATTAACAATGTGGAGCAGAAATAATGATTATCAGGGAGAGATAAATTTCCGCCCTGAAAAGTTAAACATATTTTTGAATTTTATACCCTCATAAATTATGTTTTACGTGATTCATCGTGGAAATTACTTTCGCTTGTAATCCACTGCGACTGAGAGTATTTAACGCCGCGCATAATGCACATCGAATCATAATAACTTTCCTAAGTAGATTAAATCCTCAAGACGTGGAACAAGCCTGAGGAATTCAGGTTGTTGGTAGAGTGTTGAGTGCGCGAATTATTTTCCCCTTTGTGCGCGTTTGTTTTGCCATAAACGCGATGCGCAAATTGCAAAATTTCAGTTTTAATTGCGCGATCTTTTCTGCAAGAGCACCGCTGAATGTCGGCGGATGTCTTCAAAGGTGCTCTCTAAGGTGGGTGCGAGCGTTCGCATTTAAATTTTATTTGCGCAAAAATGCGCATAAATGTTTATCGCGCCGGCGGGTGGCATTAGTTGCTGACTGGGGAAATTGCCATCGAACATATTTACTCGGGACGGCCTGGTCCGGGCCCGACGAACGCCAACAACCTTCGGTGGGACCCAGGAACTCGGCGGAACAACGCCAAACAAGGTCGGCAACAACGTTTGCGAGCCGCCACCGCTGCCACCGTTAACCAAATTCGTGTTTGCGCAGCGCTCCAAAATTGCATTCATTAAACTAGGAGTAGTTGAACTCGGGGTGCTATTAATTTAATTAAGTTTCGACTTGATCAAAGTCGTTTATGTCCATTCGTGTGATGCTAAATGGAATGTACGTAAAATGTTAAAAAACCGATTCAAATAGCAGCAAATTGGAAAAAGTAATTTGGAGCATGTCAACTGTCAATAACGACTTTAAATCGAATGGCAAGTTTGTGTCCCGCAATGACCACACATTTAACAAATATTGTTTTAAACGTGATTTGTTTTTCTGATAATTTTTAATCCTCATATTCTATTGTTGCTTGTTGTTCCTCAGCATTGTGTATGCAACTCTTGATGCGACTGTTACAATTAGTTACTGCCAGCTACTGAATATCTCGCGGTGTACCAGCTATCCGGAAACATGTTTCAACGTTGCAAGGACCAATGCGAACATTCCGACAACGAGAGCTATGGCCTCGTCTTTGACGTTTGCACGCGCTGCAATAATGTAACACGACAATTAGTAACTGAAATTCGAGTGAAACACGTACCGTGTCATGACTCGGAATATATGTACCATTGTAGACCAAAAATGTATCCACGCAAACCCAGTTTGCGTTTAACCTAATTTAAAATAGGTTTTTTTTTTGTTTAAATGTATGCAAAATTACTATTTTAATATTCTTTTTGGTCAACGAAACGTGTGAGCTCTGTGAACATATGTTTTATTCCGTAACATGACGACTTAGAGGGCACATGAATAAATAACCGTACGGTCGTCCTTAAATCTGATGTTGCACACGTTTTGCACATCCGTATAAAACTGAATAATGCATTCGATTCTCTACACTAGTTGATGCTACTTTGCGTCCTAACCTGTTTGCAACAAAGTAAAAAAACTACAAATTTAATTTATGACCATTCTGTGTCTGTTATGGGTATTGCGTGCGTGGTTATGGGTATTGTGTCCGTGGCAGATTACAAAGTTGTATCTGACATTCGCGAAATTAAATTCCACAGCGGTACTAATCCCAGATTTAACTATCTAATATCCGAATGATAATAAACAACAACTAGCAAAATGTACATTGTTGTTTTGTTAGATTCTCTTCGTTGTATCATGACTGCGATTGCACGTTCCGCAAATAACCTTCTATTGGGTGGTTGATGATGGGGGCTTTGGAGCATGCAGGATTTCGGCCGCTGATCAATAGTGTTTAAGCGCGCCATCCGCAACCTGCTAATTTATTATTTATTCGCATACGTCGTTGCACGTCCCGCAGTCGACGTCCTCGCAAGCGGAAGCCGCTCTTTGGGGGAAGCTTTCAGCGTTATCCTCAACCCGTACCGGGGATAACTTTGCCATCGTCTTCGGTCTCTTCAGTCTCCGAGGACGTTTGGGAATAAAGTTTTGCTTATAAAAGGCTGAAATCTCAAAACTGCAGATGGCTAAAGGCGGCCTGTGGAGGGAATTTAAGGGAAAAGGATGAAAATGTCTCAAGCGACTAGATTCAGGATACGGGGCAAGAAATCTGCCTACAATCATGAGATACCTTAAAATACACAAGATGTAACTCAACCGAGAATTTTATTGCAAAGAAATGTAAAGACAATATTTGAAATGAGTTTATAGGTTGTATAAATATTGTAGAACTAGTGTACCGCCGCCGGGGAATACTAGGACACTCATTTATATTCACAAGTCCCCAAACAGCGCTTAATAAACTTCGCGGTGCCGAAAATTGGACAATGCGTAATTTGCAATTGCAATTACAAATCGCCTGCTGGCCGCTTAAACGATATTCAATCAGCGCAATCACCTACGCATTATGGCAAAATAACATTTGCAAAATGCGCCGCGTACGTTGCCTTCATATGCAGGTGCATGTGCCGCATGGGCAGCCACCTCCGCCACAGTGTGGCTAATTTATGCAAATCATTTCGAGAATAATTGGGAAACTGGACCCGGATGTAATTCGAGCGCGTGACCGCGTCCGTCGATAATTGCGCGTGCGGCTCTGCTACATTATTTATCTGGCTAGATAAATGTATGTGCTGATTGAATACTTAATAAACCTTGAAATGTGTGCAAATTGACATAATTTACATTATTTAATGTAAATATTTGGGTGTAATTTGATGACGGTGGTAGATTACAATATTTTTAACGTCGGGAAAAAAGGAAATATTTTAATAAAATTAAATAAATTTATAAATGTGCGTATTATTTAGTAAACAAAATACCTATAATAACTCGCAATTTTCACAGTTAGTGTTTTTAAAATTTTATTTGCCTCGTGAATAATGCTCGTTAAGTGTAACTTACTACTTACGTCCTTTTGCTTTCCCCTTCTTTGAGTCTTGTGCATTCTTGGGGAAACAAAGCACGAAGCTGAGAAAGATTTGCTCCCTCTCCAACATTGGAATTTATTATTAGTTGTAGGGAGCACACATGTGGGTTTATGGGCTTTTTACGCTCGACATTGCGTCGGATATAAATTAATGCGGATTTTAAGGGTTTTATAACCGCGCTCGCAGCGAAAGCCCTTCCAAATACCGAAACATCCACAGTGAAGTAAGCACAAATCAAAAACGTAGGAGCATAAAAAATAAATAAGGCGTTGTTGTGGTCTATGGTGGGAAAGCAATAGTGAACGAAACGATTCTACGCCAGAACCTGGACGTGCTACTTAGCACCAACTCTCTGCCGTATAATACTGTCGCAAAGCAGCGAACAGAAGATAGCACGAAAAAAGCACGATGTGTCCGAGTGGGTAAGACGCTCAATAAAATATTTATGACCTCGGCTGTGAAGATACGACCGTGTGGACATTCATTTAGGCACAAACGAGGCCATCTCCACGCGCGAAATAAATTATATGTGCCTTTTGCCCAAAAAGAAAAAGGGCATAACAAATTTACGAAAAACCACACACTGAAAGAGAGCGCGCATAAAAGTAGCGCGAAATTAACAAGGAAATAAAGCGAATGCAACGTCCGAGCCGCGTCCAAAGTTTTCAAACGTGAAATTGCATTTTTCATTTTAGCTGGTTGGGTGTGTCACCAGCACCACCGGCAGCTGTGAACCATTTTCGTGCAAATGGCAGCGTCACTGCAGTAATTTCAAGGTGCACATTTGATGAGGCTCGGCAATGCTTCCCGTACTTCATTATTTTATCGCTTTCCGAGGGCCATTTGCACGGCAATGCTGAGCTGGATTTTTCTCCTGCAATGTTTGAAGTTGATTCAATTTTTTTAAATCTGTGGAATTTAATAGTTGCATAGTCTAATACTCAAATAAACACAATTAAAAACAATGCAATAATTAAACAAAAATACTGGAATGAGCTTCTTTTTTCCAAACTTAACCAATTTTGGAATGTTTACAACTATATGCTAATACTCATCCGAACATTTATCGCCTGGTTTATTTTTAAACTCCATTGTGCTCATTAGATATCTGGCATCCATTTTGTATTTACCATGTAACATAATTCTGTTCATGCATCTCATAAACTGCTGTAACCACCATAAGCCCTGTTGAAAGTTGATTGCACCACCCCTCAGATGAAGTAATCTACTAATACCCTTCAAGTATCGACGCACCACCTGTTTATTTTATCTTCGAATAATATTCGTGCCCCTCTAGTGATTGCCGCTTCGCATCCGTATTCGTTTGCGATGAAAACAACGCGTGTGTTCATTTCCGTCTTGTTGCAGCTAAGCTGGACGGCGTCAAGACGTACATGCGAATGCGGCGCGTGCCCAATCATCTGCAGGTGAAGGTCATCAAGTGGTTCGACTATCTGTGGCTTACGCAGAAGTGTTCGGACGAGGAGCGCGCCGTCTCCTGTCTGCCCGACAAACTGAAAGCCGAGATCGCCATCAATGTTCATCTGGACACACTCAAGCGTGTCGAGATCTTTCAGAACACCGAGGCGGGCTTCCTCTGCGAGCTGGTGCTCCGGTTACGGCCGGTTTTGTTTTCGCCAGGGGATTACATCTGTCGAAAGGGTATGCTAGTAGAATTTATTAAAATTAAAAACAACATGAACCCATTTACAAGTTGCAAGTACCACTAAAAATGTTTTTCATTTCGAGTTAAGTTGTCTGCACTTCATGCAGTCGTTGTTTGCCAAGATTCCTGTTGTTCAACGAGCATGCAAAACGCGGAAAATATGCCTGATGGCTGCGGGGGCGGCAACACTTTAGCGACTTTAACATAAAAGAGTCGAGCGAGGCGGGCGTGCGTCAAGCGGCGGAAATAGTTTGCGGCGAACTAACTTTCGCGCGCCATTAAGATGTTAACTGCTCAACTTATCACTTTAATCTAAATATCAAACTTCTGAGCGCTTAACCTTCGCAAGTTAAACCGCCGCCGACGTGGATGACTACGCGCCCGTCGACGTTGACGATGACTACAAAGCGTTTGCACGATAAGGGAATTCCTAATGTGATAGATGTAAAGGGTTGCAAGGGATGTTGAAATTCATCTCTTGCGATTTACATCCACGCATATGTTTTGCATGTATCTTTTAATTTGTTAAAAAAAATTAGATCATTTAAGTGCTAATGTAATGTGTGTTTGTTAAATATTGTTTTAGGTGAAGTCGGTAAAGAAATGTATATAGTAAACAGGGGGCGGCTGCAGGTGGTGGCAGACAACGGCCGCAGCGTGCTGGCCACGCTGAAGGCGGGCAGCTACTTCGGTGAGATATCAATTCTAAACATGGGCACGGCAGGTAAACACCTTGGTAAATATCCGCAGGCAAGCCAATTGGTGGTTGAGTCAAACAAGTTATTACTACATTTTTATTCCTTCTTCTTAAAAATCTTAAAACTTTAATCTTGATCTTTCAAAACCTAAATAGTTAATAATTGACAGAATGGCAGTTTTAAAAATTCTGCTTTTCCAAAATATTTCTAAATTTTTAACTACCACCACCGCCTTGCATGATGGACTGGCTTGTACTTAGAATTAATTTACTTGATATTCCCCAATATATGTTCCCTGAATGTGCAAAAAGTGATTTTCAGAAAATTTCAGATCTCAATTGTTTCTATCTTAAAAGTATTGATGTTTAAAGTGTTTTCAAATAAATGTTACGTGTTTTTCTAAATCACCGGCCAGAGACGCGATGATAAAAACTCCAATTGCAAAGAAAATTGAAAGTTTTCCGTACGGATATGCGCCAGTAAACGCACGCAATTTTATTCAAGTGGCTTCGCTGTATTGCAATTTGTTTCGAGCTTGTTTCCGATGTGCAATTTTTTTTGTTTCAGTCACAGCATTAAAATCCAATACCAATATTCGGAGTTTAATCGAATAAAACAGACAATCGGTCGGTTTGAAAATTTGATCACGTCTACAAAAATTGACAAAAATTTGCTATTGTGTCTGCTTTTCGCCTGTTTCATTTGTTTATGCAGTTGTTTTAATTTATTGTTCATGTTCGATATGTTTTTTATTGCAGTTTGAATGTTTGCTAATTTAACATCCAAATCATTCGAATGTTAAATTATTCCAGTCAAATAAATAAAACGATAAATGATAAATGCAATTATTTGACTGGTTATGAAATTATATAATCTGTTTCGTGTGCTTTTTGTTTGTTCAACATTCATTTGTTCTGAGCGTGGTTATGCTTTTGTTTTTTGGGCGTTAATGTGCAGTTTTTACGAGCCAGTTGGAAAGATCCTTTGAGATCTTGGCGATGGCGAGTGAGAGAGTTCGGAATGGGAATGGCGCGCGATGAGGAAAATTCCGTGTTTGCTCTGGATGCGCGCGGTGAATGATCGCTTTTCCGATTCGACACGCACGCGTTCGGCGGCACGCTACATCGAGCCGGTGACCTCATCATCCGCGTCGACGGGAAACGACAGCAAGGAATACGCCAAAAGCGGCCGCGATTTTCAGTGCACGCTCAAGAATTTCGGTTAATTTTGCCTAACAAAAGATACTGCCACTACTGTGCTATATTGCCATTTTATCATCGCATACAGTGTGTCATAAAATTAAAACTACACCAAAACTCTTGTAACGTTTTAAAGAACCTTTAACTTTACTTACAAACGAAGTCAACCTAAATTTAGAATACTTTTATGGAACACTTTGTATATTTGATGCTATATCTGCAGCGTATATTTAGAGGGCGCTCGTAACACCGCGTCGCAATACGGCTGCTGGCGGCGCACGAGTATGACGTGCGCGAAATTATTTCAGGGGTAGTTATGCGGCGAAACACTGGCAATAGTCCAAATATGATCCTGGGCGCTCCCCGTCTGGAGCACGGGGAACGGGTTTGCGCGGATGAGCTGCATGAATTTAAGCAATGCAGAACGATGCGGTGGAGCAAGCGAACGTTTGCGTTTCGCTTGTATCGCACCGAATTTCTTATTTTTATGTAAACATTAAGTCACACTACATTAAAAGTGACGATAAAAACGTACATAACCTAAACAATAATGTTTTATTCAAGTTAACCTAACATAACCATGGTTTAACTTGTTAACCAAATATTTAAATTAATAAGTAAACGGCAATTTAAATTAAATGTTTTGTTAGTGTTCTGCTTTGCATATATTTAAATCTATTTTTATAATACTCGTTGCATTATGCCCCGAAAACATCCCTCTGTGTGCCTCACGCAAATGATTCTCAAATTAATCCCCAAAATTAAGCTCCGCAATAAAATGACCCGCGAATAGGGTCGAGTAAGATGATGTGCCCGGGAAATCCGCCCCCATTCATCCCTTCTGAATGTGGACGCTGTATTATAGGGATGAATTTGAAAATTACTTAATTGCTTCGAACCTAAAACTAAAACAATTAAGCAACAATCCGCATAAAACGACGCTAGACTCCGCAACCGATTTGAATAATGAATTTCCATGGCGTTTTGCTCCCGCAGGAAATCGTCGCACGGCGAGTGTCCGGTCGGTGGGCTACAGCGATTTGTTCGTGCTGAGTAAGAAGGATATGTGGGACGTTCTCAAGGAGTATCCGGCGGCGCGCGTCCGCCTGGAAGCCATCGCCGTCAAGCGGCTCGAGAAGTACAAACGCGCTCCACTGGAAAAAGGTTGGTACTATCACAAGCTAGATTTCTAGATCATGTCTTCAAAAACTCATTTTTTGTTAGACTAAAAGAAGATTATTCAAGATGGCGATACTTGAGGTCAATAGGTTGCTCTTCAATATGCGCCATCTTGAAATTGGTCTCTCATATGTTTATATATGAATTTCGGAACATTTCGGGATAACGGCTGTGCGCTAGCACCGGGTACGGTTGTTATACGGTTATTATGCCGAACCAAAAGGTCACACGTCGGAATATTAGAGAGGCGAAGCGTGTTTTTATCGATTTCCATAAATCATCTTCGATTCGGGCACGTTTGGCGTTTTTCCGACGGCGGGCGGCCCGCGGGCGATACGAGCACGTTAAAGGATCTTATCGTCGGCTCTCTCGTAACGTGCAAGACATTGGGGATTAATTTATGCTAAGGCCGAAAATTTCCTCTGCCCAAATTTAATGGAAACTAGAAATGTGTGATAAAAGAACATATGATAGGCATAAATATATATTATTACAAAAATTTTTAAGCACCGCAGTTTTGATAAGCTATGTTGAAGCTTTACAGCAATCCTTGATCGGTTAGCTCGACACTAATCTTGAGCAAATCCTCCCCAAAGCCCCGTTGCGAATCAGTGGTGGTTAGCAACCTCACACACACACCCACAGCAGCGCACTCGGAAATAAGAATTAATTAATTAATACGATGATGCCGAGAATATACATTTTATAGATTTCGATTAATTAAATTAAGTAATTGTCGGCGCATGCAAAAAAAATCACAGCCGAGCTTTTTAATTAACTCAATTATCCGTCGGGATGAACAAGAAAATGTTTACAAAGTTAACTCGCTTATCATTTTCATATTGATTCGAAAAGTTTTAAACGCCTGCATAAAATTACAATATACAAAAATATACCCGAACTGTATAAAATCCGGCTTACCATCCCCCAACATAGATATTTGGATTTTAATTATGTGGAAAAATTTCGAAGCAAATTTCGAAACTTTCATCTAACAAAGTCGAACTTTCTAAATTTTATCAGAGTTGCCTTTGCTTCGCCGCCTTCACATTTCTAGTGAGGGTGGGGGGCGCATTCCGGCGTAGCACTGCGGATGTCTGCTGCTGTTTCGGGAGGCGTAATGAACGTAACGTGCGTGTGCGCGCTTCTTTGCGTTTTGATGCCGCTGAGAGGGGGCGCGCCTCTATCGAGGAAAGGGATAGTTGTTTATACGCGCGTTGCGGGCATCGCTTGCGCAACCCCTAACCCGTCGCCATCGACGATGCAGTAAGTAAAAGGCGCGCTTCGGAGCCGGCGATGAATATTTAACGCCGGCCGGCAGCAGTGAACCGACTCAAAGTAAAAGTTACTCCAGTCTTTATCTTAGAGTTTGTGGGTTGTTTTAGAATTTTTAGAAAAATTCTCCCTGACAAAGACAACACTTAAAGGGGACAAGAAAAACTGTTTATGTGCAACGGCGGCAATATTACTGTCAAAAAACTTAAATTTTCTTTTAATATCTCATAGATTATTGAATTTTTGATAAGGGAATTCTACCCATAATATTTACCCCAAATGCTAATTTTAATACCGTAAGAATTTTGAAGAATTATTACACACAAAAAAAGTTATGCCCATTTGAAAATGTGCTATTGAAAATAATGGTTGATGAAATGAATGTAACTCTTGCAGCCGCGATGGGCAGAAGCCAGTCGACGCCCGGGCTGGTGGAATCGCGCGGTAAAGTACCGCTGGAGGAGATGTGGGTGCCATCGGGGCTTGCGGGGCTGACGCCCTCGTACCCGCGCTCGCTGCTTGGCTCGCCGCCGCGGCCGGCGCCCGACTCGCCCGGCGGCTCGACCAGCAGCGGCCGCAGCAGGCACCACACGCCGGCGTCGCAGGCGCGCTCAGGTAAACTCGACATCTCTGCCCTCCAACCCCCATTTTTGTGTGTCTTCTATCTGTCTCGCTGCCTTCATTCTCTTTCGATCAATGTGTCTCTGGAATGCCCATCGCATGACCCCGCCCCCATAATTTCTCATTATCAACCAATTATTCAATTTTTATCAGTAAGAATATTGCATGCTTAAGTTGGGCAAACTGATAACAAAAGAAATTCCACGATTATATATAAATCGTCTTACATGTGGAAAAGGAGATATATTTGTCAATCTGAACCGAAGACGAGTTAAGCGATGGCAAATCGCGAAGCCGGCGGGCAATCGACCTCGTCTCGTCGCATTACTTCCGATAAGTTCCGACGCCGCGGAGAAAGTGCGAAAACTGCGCGAGGTCGACAGCAAAACCAATGAGGCAGGAAACCCGAAGGAAAACATCCTGATCTGACGTGTTGAGACAAAATACTGAAAAGTGCAATTTTTTACCGAACAAATCTCAAACAGAATCCATACATATATGTATCTCTATCACAGCTTATTTATGGTTACTTTATGAATCATTAACACTCATTATCCTACTTGTGTTAAATGAAATAACGTGATTAATTCGGATAATGTTGTTTTTATGGTTGTTTCTTTTTCTGTGTAAAAAAGGCAAAAAAGGAGTAGTTCTAAACACGCCACATGAGATTTATAAAAATTGACCTCATCAGTTAATTAATCCAAAACAAGCAAGCAAAAACTGCGGCGCGACAACACAAGAGTTAATTAAAAACGCGCCCACTTCGCCTCATTAACACACCCCGGTGCATGTTTACACTCTCTTCTATTAATAAACCAATGCTATTAATCCAATTGAATTTTTAAATTACATGTTTGTTGACGTAGATTTGGTATGACTGAGTAATGAAATTGTGTTCGATGTGTAGCTGTGGACGGTGTTTGAAAAAAATTAAATGCAGAACCGGCGTTGGTTGCAGGCACGACGCTGCAGTGTGACAGCATGACGCAGCTGGTGTCGGGTGCGGCGACGCCGCTCCTCGGCTCGCATGAGGCGCTGGAGTCGGAGATCAAGCGGCTGCGCGAGCGGCTACACACGGTGGAGACGGAGAATTCGGCGATGAGTGTCAAGCTCAACCAGCAGCAGTGGGAGCTGGAGAATCGGCTCGCCGAGATCGAGATGCAGATCTGCGGATCGCGCTCGACGAGCAGCCTGGAGGACAACGACAACGAGCGCAACAAGGAGAGCATCATTTAACAACAGCCGGAGCGGTGCACGACTGCGGCGGCGGCGGAGCGGCGCGCGACTGTGGCGGCGGCGTCCTCCGTCGCGGTCGCGCATTGATCGGCGGGCCCCGGCGCGCCGCTTGTACATAAAACGACTGCCAACACTATCCCCGCGACGGACACGTTCACATTCTTTCCGCATCCGGCGAAGAGTATATCAGAGGCGAAAGGAGACGTCTGCATGTGTGTCATCTTTACTTTTAGGAACAATATTGCATTCGACGCTGTACAGGTTGATTCAAGATTACAATCATGAATCGACCCGTACCTGTGCAAAACCATCACCAAATAACCCTTGTGAGTGAAGATTAAAAAAAAAACTGATAGCAAATTTACTTTTCGGTGCTAGACGACGCCGCACGTCACTAGCCGTTGTAAGAGACAGAGACTAATTATTAGTCAGAAACTAATCGGTGTGCTGTGTAATGTATGTGTGTGCACGTGCATGTTGTGCTAAATTGTACAGAAATGGATGCCACTAGCCTCCGGCCAGCCGTACCACGAACCCCAGCCGTAACAAACGAGAACCTGAAGAGTAACACAAACAAACACAAACAAAATCGCCAACACAACATTTGTACATAGTTATTATTAACGCATCCACCGAACACGATTATATCAATCAATATGCCTAATATTGACGTTCGTTTTACGGGTATTCGCCAAAATGTAAACGCACAACACTCGATGTTGATGTGTGTCATCGCATATATTAAATTTTCGGAGCGTGTGAAACGGTTGTAGAAGAAAGATTCCGCATGTACACAATCGCGTGTGTGTATTATTATTACTATTATTAACATTATTCATTGATTATTAGAGTTTCTGAAAAGATGTCTAAATCCAAGTTCTAGTTCTTCGATCACTCGACGTGCAACTTCTGTTTGGGCAAAGCTTTTGATTTATGGTATGTCAAAAATTTGAATGCGCGTACAATTGGTGATATGATAGTCGGCTTTAAATAATAAAATCCCGCTTTGTAATTAAACCTGAAAGAAACAAAATGTTTTACCAATATAACATTATTAAACAAAGCAAATGATAAATTTTCATATTTAACTACCGAATAACATGATAATACCTACCATTAAAACGAGAAGAGATAAAATTTAAAAATAAATAAATAATATACGTATATTTTCAAAACGAAACAAAGGTTTATAACTAACGTAAATAATAAATAACAAAAAATAAGTACGAGGTACGAATGATAAATGTAAATTGATGATAAAGTAATAAATTTGTAAATTAGACGATTTAAAACTGGCGGCGATACGAGTTGAACGGTTTGAACAAGGATTGGAGGCGAGAGCACACGCGCGACAGAAGAAAGAGAGCGGTTCGTATATGCAGGGACCAATCTAATCCTGATTTTATATTTATACCATGTATAAATCTTTCAAATTAACGAGCGGCGCAAACGTGGTAATAAACTTTCATTGCTTCGAATTGCATAAACCATTACATCACATAAAACATGAAATAACATAACATCACAAACGATTAACGCCATTTATATTTGGTTGCGGTTATTGTTTGGTGCTTCCAAAACTCAAACAGTCTACATTTATGTTACAAATAAGAAAAAATAAATTGTTAGTATGTTATTGACAGGAGGAGCTTTGAAAATGTCAATTAATGTAAACCAACAAAAATATTCTTTTTATATCATTCTTTTGTTTGACACATCTAAATCAACCAATACTTATATTTTTAAATTACTTTAAGAACGGTTATGTTTGAATATTGCACTAGAATGATGTAAAAACAACTGCCAAAAATGTTGTAAATGTAAGTTAAGAAAATTAGGTGAAAATTACTTCGCATTGAAATCGAGATAATAATCACGCGCGCGACAACCTTCCAAAACTTGTAAAATCACCGTTAACTCTTAAAAACGAATAATCCGAAATCATTACAACCGCCAAATCATCAAATTTGAATGAATTTGCATCTCATAGGATGCAGAGGTTGAGCCGAGCGAATCGAAGGGTCAAGACAATTATTTAGTTCGTAGATTTCTAAAAACAAACCGACGTTATTTGTAAAAACAAATTGAGACTCGAGTCGAAATCGTATGTCGAATGCCACGAAATAATCCAAAAACCACCTTAAGTCTAACTAAATACTACTACCATGTAATTTTCTAGCGCGTTCTAGTAGAGTTTATAAACTTACTACTTAAGGATATAATTGAAATTAAGATTGGTAATGGATAAAAACAAACATGTACGAATTAGTGAAAACAAACAAAAACACCCGCCGTTTAATCCCCAAATGAAAACAAACTATATGAGAATGAAGAAACACTAAAATTCGCTTTAAACTTGTAAATCTCATTTTGTTTAAGATGATTATGTTTTGTTCGAGTATTAAACTCTAAAGAGTATTGTCGAGCATTGCTGAAGACAATGTGTATAAGGTTTTGAATCGGTTCACGCGGTAATAGAATGTAAGAAATGAATGAAATTACTAGTTAACAATACAACCCAGTGAGACCAAATATTTTTAAGCGAAAAAATAATAACATGAATGAAATTGTATTTGATGACGGGACAGCGACATACGAAACATTTCCATAATTCCTAAATATTGTATTATTTTGTTCACAACTTGTTTACCTTTTTATCGCCCAGGAATAAAAACAACAAACGAATGAACACAAGATTGTAAAACGCTAGTCGGTCAATTTTATCACTCGCAAAATTTTTAAACAAAACAGCTTGACTCGAACAGTAAGAAAAGGCACGAAACAAATTCGAATAATATAAATATGTTACGTATGTTATTGATATTGTAAAGAAGAAAATGATTACGATAGAAAATATTTGTTGCTATATTGATATAGATATATTATGATTAACATTGTGACAAATGAACAAATTGTGACTTTGCTTGTTTATAACGAAATATTTGTCTATTATGATTGCGTACTTTGGATGATTTCGTCAGAAGGCGTATTGTATTGCTGATTATGATGAAGAAGATGAAAAAAGAAGAATTACTCTCACAATGAAACAAATGTCTTATGATATATACATGAATCGATTAAACACAAAAAAATCACCAGCATTGTTAAGCTCATCAATAATTATCAATTCAATCAACTAAACAAAATTTCTGTTTATACCAATTAGAAAACAAAAGAAGCAAAAGGAACTCATATCAGGCATGGAATTTCACGTATTCATATTGGGTTCTAGATCAGTTTATCGCAATTATCATGTGCATACCAATAATACGACGACGAGATTATTTCGATCGGATGAATTTAATATTTGTATAGTGCTAGCAAATGTGAGCGGGCGAAGAAGATTGGTCGAAATTTTGACATTCAGTGGCAAAGTCTGTAAATTGTCAAGCTGTACAGATGTCATCTGATGTGTGGAAATGTTATTTTCGTGCGTACACGAGAATATGAGAAACACAATAACGCATTTTGCCCTTTATAGCTAATTCCAAAGGATGAAAAATACAATTCCACGAATTTTGTCATTGTTATTCCTAAATATTTAATATAATTCCCATTAATAAAGAATTTAATTCTATATTTCTACGTGTTTGTCCTGAAATTTTACTTTCAGTTTTAATACGTATCTGACGTATCAATTGAATTTGTGGACAATGACATATTTGTTGTTTTGAAATTAGTTTAAGCTACGTAGAGGAAAATTTAATACTTAACGATAAGGGTCAGAATTTATTTTATAAAATTATGAATTACTTTGGAGTATAAAACAGAAAAGTGAAAATCCGTCACTGAACATAATTACATTTTCTTTGATTGCCAAAACAAACAGTTAAATTTATGAAGGCACTTTATTTGCAGCGACATCAACCTGCTTGATACGATAATATAAATAAGCCGCGTAAAATCACATCACAGTATGTTAGTTTGAAATAGTTGTTTTTATATTCCTAGACGATATTTGTCTGCCATGAATTTTAGCGATGTCTCTTATGAAAATATACAAGTTACATTTTCATGGATCGACTATGGATTGTTTCTCTTGATGTTGTCTATGAGCTTACTGATCGGTTTATATTTTGGTTTTTGTGGTCATCAAGACAGCGCAGATGAATACTTACTTGGGGGTAAGAAAATGTCAGCGATTCCAATTGGAATATCATTAGTAGCAAGGTACTGTAAGAAAATTTAAAACATAATCACAAGTAGGTTTAATATATTAATTTTTAGTAATATCTCCGGTATAACACTTCTTGGCGTCCCAACGGACATCTATCGCTTTGGGACAACGTATTACCTTTATGCCATCATGTTTTTACCAGTCTGCATCATTACGTACTATGTCTATATCCCAGTATTTTATAAATTGCAAGTGGTGAGCGCCTTTGAGTATTTAATGCTGCGTTTCGACAGAAAGGTTCGCCTCCTCTCTTCAGGACTCTACACTATCAACACTGTGTTGTATCTTCCTATTGTTGTGTACATTCCAGCGTTGGCCCTTGCTCAAGGTAATCGAGTTTCAGAATTTAAGTGTTCCTTTTATAAACTAAATATTTTTTGTTTATAGCTACGCACACAAGCATCCATTACATTCCACCAGTAGTATGTGGTGTGTGTATAATCTACACTACAATAGGTGGTTTAAAAGCCGTGGTGTGGACGGATACTCTTCAGTTTGTGGTAATGATTGGTTCAATTCTTGGAGTTTTTACCAAGGAGTAAACTCGGTTGGAGGATTTGGGGAAGTTTGGAAGAGGGCTGATGAGAGCAAACGTTTGGATTTCGACTTTGACATGGACCCTACTAAAAGGGACACTGTTTTTGCCACATCAATTGGATCAATTTTTATAGGTCTATGTTATGCTGCAATCAATCAGAGTTTTGTTCAGAAGTTTTTATCTTTACCGTCAAGAAAAGACATAAAAATGTAAGTTTTTGTACTAATTCAGTATTAATTTTATTTATATTCCAACAAATTTGTTTTCAGAGCTATTACAATATTTAATATTGGGATGCTTGTCATTATAACTCTGGTGCTTGGTATTGGTTTGGTCATGTATGCAAACTACTACCGCTGTGATCCGTTTACAGCTGGTAAAATCAAAAAACATGATCAGGTGTTGCCATTTTACGTAATGGAGGTAGCCACAGTGATTCCGGGATTAGCTGGCCTGTTCTTGTCAGGGATCTTGAGTGCCGCATTGAGTACCCAGTCGGCGTACATGAACAGTTTGGCGGCTTCAATATACGAAGATTTTGTGAGTCCTTTTGTTCCTTCCAACACGAATCAGAAGACAATCAGTAACATACTCAAATTTATGGTTGTTATTATTGGATTGATCAGCACACTCATGGTGTATGTAGTTGAACACATGGGCAGTATAGTACCAATTAATATTGCACTGAGTAGCATAACTAATGGCCCGCTATTGGGTTTGTTTACATTGGGAATGTTATTTCCGGTTGCTAATTCAAAGGTAATTAATATTTGTATAACATACTTCATATTAGTAAATATGAAATTTACAGGGGGCATTATTTGGAAGTTTAACATCTTTGGCGGTCATGACATTTATTATAGGTGTAAGTCAAATTTATCAGTTCAATGGACGTATACGTTACCCGGCCAAACCAGTGTCAATTGACGGATGTAATTCAACACTTGTTACAGGAGTAACAAGTTCAAGGTAGTATTATAATATGATCTGTATATTTAATACTAATGTTGATTGTTTTATAGTAATATACAAATAAATGATGACGACATATTTGTTTTGTTTAAAATTACACATTATTACTATACATTCGCTGGTGCGATGATAACAATGGTTGCTGGCGTAGTAATATCCTATTTTACACAAAACGTTACCGATCCAAAGGTAAATCCGGATGCTATAAGTCCTGTAGTTTATTGGATAAGACAGAAGTGGGGAAGACGCATAGTAGATGATCAAATGCAAGAAATGAAAGTGAAGGAGACACAAACATTGATTTCGCAAGTGAACAAAACAGAATCATAACGAAAAATTATGAATGTGTTCTGTGCTATACTTTGTAATTATTAGAGCCATTTAAAATGCTTATAAACGTTCTGGACTCATCATATAGTATGTTCAGTCCTAATATTTAGTTTTATAGTAGTAGTATAATCACTTCGTTCTCGGTTATGGTTTTAATTTTCGAATTTTGAACGTGTGCGTGTGTGTATGTGTTACAAATTTAATTTTAATTTGTACATGTTTCCCTAAAAGGGCATTCCTCAGTATGTGTAAGAATACACTTAGCACTGCAGTTGAACTTCAACTTGTAAATTAAATTACTATTGCCAATTGCTAATTGTAAACTTCAATTGATTGAATAAAATATATTCCACGTTACTATAGTTTATTCTAATATTTTGTGTTCGAGTAGCACAAATTGTAGTGTCATTGTTTCGTATTTCACACTCTTATCATCATACAGGTATAAACAAACCACTTTTTTTATCCGTTCAGGTAGAGTGGAGAGTGGGATTCTATTGCCGTCTGTGGTTTGTGCAATCCGCGCTCTTGGCACCGCAAGCAGTTCAACATTACCGGTCAGTAGGAATCAGTCAACAATTATCGCCATTAACCAACAGTACGTGTGCATAGTTTTTAGACTAGACAGTTCTATGTGAAGTGTTAAGTGTCAAGTGAGATGCCCTGGATTTGGACTACCGACTTTAATAACAGTAATTGCCATTTATTTATTGTGTTCACTGATCGTTCATCCACGCTCAACACTGCTGTCGCTACGGTTCCCGTTGATGTTGCCGGCTACAGAGCAAACACAGCCGCTTGCCGTCGCTGCGTCCATATAGACAGACTAATCCCCGGATTCGGTAAGTCGAGTAATATTCAATCAAATGTCAATGTATTTAAGTACACTGTTTTACTACGCGTAGAGCAACAGCAATTTTTGTATGTCAACGATTTTTTGGGTCCTTTAATCAACGTATTTCGATATACAGCGCGTGAATGGTGTTTTGCTATTATAATACAAGGCGCTGAATCTTCCACAATGTTCCACTTGTTAGATTCCGTCCGAGATTATTACATTTGCAATATTTTCAAGCGGCAGCACTTTACTTTAAATATTAATCCGTTACATCTATTCCCATTTTTTTAACAATCGGTCAAAATAATTGAAACCTTTTAATTGTATATTTACAAACATTGATCCATCGGTGGTCGCATACCTTACTCAAAGCAAATTATTAGAAAAAAAACATTTCGTATTTCGTAAATTTTATTTTAAATATATGTTGACACTATTTAATTGCACTGTGTGTATGTAATACTAATAAAAGTTCAAAAACACCGTCTCACAAAAAATTGATTTGTCGCGATGTGCATTTCGAAGGCTAAGCCTTCCTCTTCAGGCGAAGGAATTATAAACTGAAGTAAAATTGTGTCTGTTCCCTAATTTATTCTAAATCTTAAGCGGTAGAAGTGACTCGCGTTCAGGGCATCATACGAGGGTAGCGGTAGAAGTGACTCCCATTTAGGGCACCATATGAAGGTAGTGGTAGAAGCGACTCGATTCAGGGCATCGTACAATGATAGCGGTAAATGTGAGTCGTGTTCATAAAATATAAATTGTTTTTGGACCTTTTAGACCAGGAAATTAAATTATTTTTACCTGATAGAGAATTTTCCAACCTTTCATAATCTTCTATCCGCTTCTTGTTAACGCTATTAATTTAAAAGATACACGTTACCAAAAATAGTCAAAAAAAACATGACGCAGCAGCCCTTCCCCCTTTGCCCGTTTTTGTTATTAATTATTCTTTCATCTCTTAGATTTCCCGTTTAACGTCTCATTGAAAAAAGCTAGAAATATTTCTTAGGAATTGCTATGACATTGTGTGGAAAGCACTCTGTCTCATTAGTAATAATTTAGAAATTTTAGATTTGTTATTATTATTTGGTTGGTAGTTAAAGAGTTCTTCTGTAATATAATGACATTTTTTAGTGTCTAAGTCCTTTGAAAGTGCCCTAAAATTCATATCAGCATTTATTTCTTTTCTCAAGAATTGAAAATTTGATACGAAATTCCTTCCAATTTTAATTTATTATTGCTTTTAATAATCTTAATTCCGTCTGTGTTATTCATAGATGGCACTAGCATGAACTAAAAATCATAAAATAAATTTATACTGCTTATTCTTATGTTTATTGTAAAACGTGGCCACGAGATTAGTTTGGGACACAATTCCGTTACCTGTGCTTTTATCGCATTCACCGAGCGGAATACAACGCACGTAGCTGCACCATAGTTTAGTTTTGATTGCAGGTAAAGTGTCTGTTGCAATTCGTGCACATGTTCGCGTGCCATCGACGCGCCGCCGGCTTTGCGCATCTATTACTTTTTTGCCTGCGGGATTCATGCAGTAGGTAGTCTTATCATAAACTCTCGCGACGATGCTTGCTCGGCTACGGCATACGCTATCGGTGGACTGCAGCCAGTATTGTGCCGGTCGTTGAGTGATTCACGCGTATTTCGTGCGATTTTTATTTTTTAATCGAACTTCTCCTCTCTACATATGCATTATATTCGATCATCAATCGACTATTTAGTTGTAACTTGAATCTGCAGTGTTTAGTAGTGATTAAGTGCGTTTAATGCCCATACGTTGCGAATAACAAGTAACGGTCGGCGTGTGTTGTTCGCCGCGTATCTTAGAATTAAATAGTGTTGAGTTTACGAGTAGATTCAATTTTGTATGGAGACTGCCAGGCGCTTTTCTTGCAATTAGAGGGCCATTAGTACTTGGGTAAGTAACATCTATAAGATCATTGTTACAGACAGAACAGAATGTATTGCAAGTTTTTTCTCCGATGTGTGAATATGAGCATAATATTAAATCTTCTGAAATATTTCAATTTGTTTTCATTTATTTGCAGCGCTTGGCGAGTCTTGAGTGCCATGAGCTCGGCAGTCGTAAGTTTAAAATTCAATTATATTTTTCCTTCAAATTTGCTAATCGGACTTTTGTATGTTTTTTTTATCGCGTTCCACAAGCGCGTAGCCAAAATTGTGTTCTTTTGCATTTTTTAAAATTTGCCGTGGAAAATGGATTACGTCTTGCGAACCCTTCACAATATTTAAGTTATTTCTTTTTATATGATAGAGCAAGAGTCCTTTTTCAAGATGCACCCTAGAAACCTCGCGAATTTCAGTCTGATCTGTCTTAAAATGGCCGCAAAAGTTTGCTCTTGTTTAGCATTTGTTAAAACTTACGGTGGAAAACTGGTCATATCTCGCGAACCCTTTGCAATATTTTAGTTATTTCCTCTTTATGTGATAAAGCAAGAGTCCTTTTTCTAGATGCACCCTTGAAACCTAGTGAATTTCAGTCTTATCTGTCTCAAAATGGCTGCGAAAGTTTGGTCTTTTTTAGCATTTTTCAAAACTTGCAGAGGAAAACTGGTCATATCTCGCGAACCCTTCGCAATATTTCAGTTTTTTCTTCTTTATATGATAAAGCAAGAGTCCTTTTTCAAGATGAACCCTTGATACCTCGCCAATTTCAGTCCTAACTGTCTCAAAATGGCCTCGAAAATTTGCTCTTTTCTAGCATTTTTCAAAACTTACGGTGGAAAACTGGTCATATCTCGCAAACCCTTTGCAATATTTGAGTTATTTCTTTTTTATATGATAGAGCATGAGTCCTTTTTCAAGATGCACCCTAGAAACCTCGCGAATTTCAGACCTAACTGCCTCAAAATGGCCGCGAAAATTTGCGCTGTTCTAGCATTTTTCAAAACTTACGGTGAAAAATAGGTCATATTTCGCGAACCGTTCAAAATATTTTTCTTTATGTGATAGCACGAGAGTCCTATTTTAAGGTGCACCCTTGAAATCTTGCGAAATTCGTTCTTAACTGTCTCAAAATGGCCACGAAAGTTTGCTCGTCTTTTGCATGTTTTAAGACTTGCTGTTAAAAACCGGTCATATCTAGGAAAATTTCTAATTTTCTATTTTGTAATACTCGGAGTTAATGTCAATTTTATTAACCGCGCGTTTTTGGTACACTCGGTAAATGTAGTTTTGTCCGTGTTTATTTTTCAACATCTTCGCGAACGTAAACAACTGTTATCTTGAGCGAGTTTACACCGACGAGTGTTGCACTGATACAGAGAAATTATTTAACATTTGGTGTATATTTCTGCGTATTTGTATTCAATATATTAGACATAATTGCTTTATTAAAATATTAGTAGGTAGATATGATATTTAACTTATGGCCGAGCGATATGTTTTGTCTCAGCCTTATTTTTTAGAGACTAATACGCAATGTTTTAACTCTCATTTCTTACAGTGAATGTTTAAATTAGGGGCGGTGTTGTAATTACCAATTAAACAACGTTAAGGTAATAACTATACAGTACACTTATACAATAAATTATTTATTTGTAATGGTAAATTAAATTCATGTTTTTTTCAATCTTATTGCATCCTTAAAGCAATAAATTCATTCCTTATGCCGAAAAATATTGAAAGTAAAAGTAAATTTCGTGTATGTGTGTTAGTTCAAGGTTGTGAAATTTTAGTTTCGTCTTCTGAAGTAAGTGTTTCGTTTCAGTACGTTTGTGTACAAACAACTTTTTTTGTGCGACTGACGCGTGATATCGCTGCATACCTGCCTTGAACCTGGCTACGCGCCGCGCACACGGCAGTCGTTTCACCGCGTGGTCCGCGAACGTGTCTCTCTAAGCGCCACGCGTTTTGAGGTTGTAATTGGTTTAATCGTCGTGTATTATTTCGGTCATCAGCAAAATATTTGCAACGGGCACTTGTGGGTGTTTTGTGTGATGATTTGTGGCGGTTAGAGTCTTCTTAAGTGTGCAATAAGTATCCGTTAATCTGCGCGCGAGGTTTCTGTTGATAGAATATATTCCACGATAGAAAATCTCCCCATCAATGCTTAGGTAGACGTGTAACTTAAATTGCTTATTAAATTTGAGAGATATAAATTTCGCATTTCTATCAGATTTCCTAGTCCCGGTTCCAAAAATAACATGCATGATTTAATTATTACAAACACGGTTTCTAAAATGATGTGAAGATAATTAAAATGACAATATTCATGTGGTCGACCACGTTCACTTTGCTGTCAGCCGTCGGCTCGGTTATCTTTTCGCTGAACACGTGAACGTTTTTAATCGATTTGCACTTCTTATCATCATTATAAATTAAGAAGTTTCTTGTTGACCTAGTAAAATCTTAAACGTTGAATAGTTTTTCGTTTTTGTAGTTTCCGTACATCTTAATATTTACAAAGAAATAATTATGTGTATCGTCTTTTTGCCGTCTGTGAATTTAGATGTTTTCCGCCGGATATTCTATCAATTTAAGATGATGCTTCGCCCGTCGGTTACTTTGTGCAGTTGATGCTATCATCAATTAATAAATATATAAACTATAATAAAATGTGAATGTTTTATTTTCATAGCACCTGTTTGCCCAATTTCTCGATGAATTTCGGGAAAAATCTTTGATTTCGTATTAAAATATTGTTCTGTATTTGTAAATTTCCGTCTTCATGTTGTGAATATTGACTCCCTTGTAGTTTCTAAAATTTTGTAACCCTGTATATTGGTTTTCCTAACACTACGTAGAAAATGGCCTGCATTTGTAAGTTTTGAGTGTTCTCCGTTTGGAATTTGAGATTTTCTTTCTGAAACACCTTGTATATTCATTTTCCTTTGTGCCCGCGAAAATTTTGCTTCAACTGTTGTTTTTAGGGTTTTCGTCATTGCCCTTTGAATTTTCTTTTTGTGACACCCTGTAGATTAGTTTCCCGGAGCCTCGGGTGAAAAACGAATATTACATGTTTTGTTGAGAGTTTTTGTTTGGCACTTTAAATTTTCCTTTGTAACACCCTGTATATTTATTTCCATTTTCAATCACCTAGAAAATTGGCTATTTACTAATTTCATTATACCGGTATAACTTTATGAAGTAGTATTTGCTGACATATCCGCTGCTAAGCAGGTCTTAAGTCCTGTATCAATATGGCGACATGTATTCTGTTGACTTGAAAAATCTAAACTTGTATTCTATTGTTAATAAAGAAATAGTAAGATATATTGACTTCTTTGATTTGTGTGTTCGCCTTCTATCATTTCAGGAACAGGTCTCTAAGAGAGTTCCCTCTCTCAGGGAATGATCCCCTCTATAAAAATTGTTAAGGTAACCTGTATGATTTGTGTACTCCTTCTATCATTTCAGGTACAGGTCAGAACTTGTAAGAATATTTTTAAGTGTCACCTCTTTTGGGGCAACAAAACTTAGAAATATTTGAACAAGACCTTAAAAGAATTGTCCTTATAAGGAGTTCCCTCTCTCTGGGGGTGATCCCCCACCATAAAAATTGTTGATATGCCTGATAATTCCGGGGATGAAGCGCAGAGACATCGTAGCTGTAGGATGGGCCGGGAGCAATGGACACATCGAAGGAGTGGGCTGTCTAACGACACGGGTCAAAAAATTTAAAAATCTGATCCTCCCCTGTTCTCTTTCTTCTATCTCCTCCTCCTCTCTACTCTACTCTCTGTTCTCTTCCTTCTGTCTTCTACTCATCTCTGCTATTCCTGTTCTACTTCTCCTATTTCTCTGTTCTCCACTTACTTTCATACTTTTCTCTTATTGCCTTCACTTGTATTTCAATTTCTCTTATATTTCGTTGCAATTCATATATGCAACCCAAATTGCACCTGATATTTTTATATTTGAGAAAAATGCCTTCTATATCTGAGATTCGATCCGTGTCTGCTAGCATGCCAGCAGGCGCATGTCTCCACTCGACCACCGAGTGCTTTTATCATTGTTATTTGATTCTTCTATTTATGTTTCTACTTTTAACATGTTTTAAAAACAACAACACAATTCAAGCAACAGTTTATGTTATATCGACTGCACACACATCCGATTTATATGCCATATTATTTAAAACTGAAAAGGGCAAAGAGGAAACCACAAAGAAATACGAATGAGATTATAATTTTACATGGTGTTTTATTGACAGGATTTAACACACATTTTGTTAAATAAAAAAAATATCAACAGCAAGCAAATTCTGCAGCAGTGAAGACTTACATTAGAATACGCGCATCTCCAACACTTCCGCTTTAGATATTGCAAACTCCATGGTTTGGGCACTCACAAACTTCGTCCCTGGGCACTAGAGTTGCACGAATTAATTATAAATCCAATTTATTCTTATGTGCGAAAATATAACCGTAGCCGACGGACACACGCACGTACAAAGATAAACCGAAAATGAATCCGCGATTGATAAACACTCGTACCATAACACTTGTAAAACCCCAGTCACATCCAGATTCTAGTTTATGCCGTCGATTTTGTGAACAAATATAAGTCAATTGACTTACTTATGATCTGAAGAAACGGAAATAGTGGCGGTGAACACGCGCGCTTCATACGACGATCGGAATGGAACTGCATGTGCGCTAAACTGCACACAGCGACACAGCTACAAGCGACAACACGAGGTCACTATCAATTTTGCGCGATACGTTCCTTGAACGCGACAAAGAAGTTATTTACATACAAGCATCGCACGTCCATAAAATAAACTAAGAATGCTTTTTGCATATATTATGCAAAATTGCTAAAAATGTAATCGATTTAAGCGCACTTCCGAAACGTGTCCGAATGCAATCCTTTTGATCAGTGCCGGTTTTAGCACTACCAGCGCCCTGGGCGAGATTTCTACGGCGCCCCCTAATTGCAATTCAAATCCATACGAATAAAACCGACCAAGTGCGAGTTGGCGCCCCTGGGCGGTCCCCCAACCGCGCCAGGCTCTAATGCCGGTATTACGCACCGAGTACAAGTGCGTATACCCGCAACTATCAATATAACTCGCGTTACGGAATTTTCTCGCAATAAATTTCGATACAGAAAGATACAAAATTAAATTCCGCATCTAAGAAAATTATTCCGAGCTTACAGTAAGACCGCGTTTGCGTGTTATAATAAAAAAAAGTACAGTTCCTAGCGCAACGAGTACAAGTGCGTATACACCCAACCATCAATATAACTCGCGTTATGGAATTTTTTCGCAATAAATTTCGATGCAGAGACACAAAATTAAATTCTGCATCTAAGAAAATTATTCCGAGCTTACAGTAAGACCGCGCTCGCGTGTTATAATAAAAAAACTACAATTCCTAGTGCAACGAGTTCAAGTACGTATACACACAACTAACAATATAACTCGCGTTACGAAACTTTCTCGAAATAAATTTCGATGCAGAGAGATACAAAATAAAATTCCGTATTTAAGAAAATTATTCCTAGCTCACAGTAAGACTGCGTTTGCGTGTTATAACAATAAAAAAACTATAGTTCCTAGCGCAACGAGTACAAGTGCGTATACCCGCAACTATCAATATAACTCGCGTTACGGAATTTCCTCGCAATAAATTTTGATGCAGAGAGATACACAATTAAATTCCGCATCTAAGAAAATTATTCCTAGCTTACAGTAAGACCGCGCGCGCGTGTTATAATAAAAAAACTACAGTTCCTAGCGCAACAAGTACAAGTGCGTATACACACAACTATCAATATAACTCGCGTTACGGAATTTTCTCGCAATACATTTCGATGTTGAGCGATACAAAATTAAATTCCGCATCTAAGAAAATTATTCCGAGCTTACAGTAAGACCGCGTTTGCGTGTTATAATAAAAAAAAAACTACAGTTCCTAGCGCAACGAGTACAAGTGCGTATACACACAATTATCAATATAACTCGCGTTATGGAATTTTCTCGCAATAAATTTCGATGCAGACACAAAATTACATTGTGCATCTAAGAAAATTATTCCGAGCTTACAGTAAGACCGCGCTCGCGTGTTATAATAAAAAAAACTACAATTCCTAGCGCAACGAGTACAAGTGCGTATACACACAACTAACAATATAACTCGCGTTACGGAATTTTCTCGCAATAAATTTCGATACAGAAAGATACTAAATTAAATTCCGCATCTAAGAAAATTATTCCGAGCTTACAGTAAGACCCCGTTTGCGTGTTATAATAAAAAAAAACTACAATTCCTAGCGCAACGAGTACAAGTGCGTATACACACAACTAACAATATAACTCGCGTTACGGAATTTTCTCGCAATAAATTTCGATACAAAAAGATACAAAATTAAATTTCGCATCTAAGAAAATTATTCCGAGCTTACAGTAAGACCCCGTTTGCGTGTTATAATAAAAAAAACTACAATTCCTAGCGCAACGAGTACAAGTGCGTATACCCGCAACTATCAATATAACTCGCGTTACGGAATTTTCTCGCAATAAATTTCGATGCAGGGATACAAAATTAAATTCCGCATCTTAGAAAATTATTCCGAGCTTACACTAAGACCGCGCTCGCGTGTTATAATAAAAAAAACTACACCTAGCGCAACGAGTACAAGTGCGTGTACCCGCAACTATCAATATAACTCGCGTTACGGAATTTTCTCGCAATACATTTCGAGGCAGAGAGATACAAAATTAAATTCCGCATCTAAGAAAATTATTCCGAGCTTACAGTAAGACCGCGTTTGCGTGTTATAATAAAAAAAACTACAGTTCCTAGCGCAACGAGTACAAGTGCGTATACACACAACAATCAATATAACTCGCGTTATGGAATTTTCTAGCAATAAATTTCGATGCAGAGACACAAAATTAAATTCTGCATCTAAGAAAATTATTCCGAGCTTACAGTAAGACCGCGCTCACTTGTTATAATAAAAAAACTACAATTCCTAGCGCAACGAGTACAAGTGCGTATACACACAACTAACAATATAACTCGCGTTACGAAATTTTCTGGCAATAAAGTTTGATACAGGGAGATACAGAATTAAATTCCGCATCTAACAAAATTATTCCGAACTTACAGAAATACCGCGTTCGCGTGTTATAATAAAAAAATTACGATTCCTAGCGCAACGAGTACAAGTGCGTATACACACAACTATCAATATAACTCGCGTTATGGAATTTTCTCTCAATAAATTTCGATGCAGAGAGATACAAAATTAAATTCCGCATCTAAGAAAATTATTCCGAACTTACAGTAAGACCGCGTTCGCGTGTTATAATAAAAAACTACAATTCCTACAGCAACAAGTACAAGTGAGTATAAGCACATCTATCAATATTACAGTCAGTGCCGGTTTTAGCACTACCAGCCCCTGGGCGAGATTTCTACGTCGCCCCTAACTGCAATTCAAACCCCTACGAAAAAACCGGCCAAGTGCGAGCCGGCGCCTCTTAAAGTCCGGGGCCCCTGGGCGGTCGCCCAACCGTGCCATGCCTAATGCCGGTACTGCTTTTGAATAGACCACTCTTGTTCTCTTATCTGAAGCAAACAGAAATCCAATCAATCCTGAGAAACGCAAAATACAGACCGTTTTCCATCATAACTTTTCAAAAATGAACGAAATTTTTGAAATCGAAGATGTAGGGGTATTTTCGGAACCTTGAGGGTGTGCATTCAATCTTTCTGTTACCTGAGAAGCAAACAAAATTAAAATCGAACCTGGAAAATGCGAGGTACAGACCATTTCCGATGATAAAATTACAAAAATGACAAAAACTAGTAAAATTGGAGATCAATAAAAGGGCTCTTAAGGATCATTTAGAGTATCGAAATAGAGTACATTTCTTCCTTTTTACCTGAAGCAAATCAAATTAAAATCAAGCCATGGAAATGCGAGATACAGACCGTTTTCCACCATAATTTTTCAACAATGACTAAACTTACTGCAATTTGATATCGATTTAAGGGCTCTTTCAGAACATTGAGAGAGTTGGAGTGTTGCATGCACACGCATTGGAGTGCAGGAGTTGCAGTATTTTTGGATTAGAAAACTCTTCCCCTCCTATCTTGAGCAAACAAAGCTAAAGGATAAAAAGCCATAGGCAAAGGATATTAGCCGTTTTCCACCATAACTTTTCAGAAATAACCAAAATTGTTAAAATTGGAGATCAATTTAAGGGCTTTTGTTCATTCTATTAGACAATGCTTTCCTTCTTATCTGAAGCAAACAAAATTAAAATCAGGCCAAGGAAACGTAAACTACAGACCGTTTGCCATCATAACTCAGAAATGATGAAAATTAGAGATCGAATTAAGTATACTCCAGGAGCCTTGAGTGTGTTGGAATGCAGTCCATGCGATTAGGCAACTTTTCCTCAGAATTAAAATAGATCTGGAACACGGAATAAAAATCATTAAAAAATTACATATTATAATATATAATAATTATTATAATCATTTCCCCAAGTGCTATCAATTAACATTAAAATGTACATGCAAATACAGAATATACTCGTTAGAGAAACTTAAAGAAAACATAAAATTAAGTTTAACTGAAACTAATCGCGCCACAGAACACACAAAAATTTAGTATTTACATTAAAACTGATTTCGGAATATTAGAAATACGTACCGGATAGAGTTAAAATCTCGCAAGAAAATAGAACACGTGAAAAATGGAAAAGAATGATAAAGAAATTAATAATCCGTATTCCTAGCGCCATCTAGAGTTGAGAGCGTGAAACAGCTTCACATGCAATCGAGACAAATTGTAGTGTTCTGTAATTTTCCATCAAAAACGTACCACATGCAAAGAACGACGTATGTCGTGTGCAATCATCTTCAAGTTAGGCTTGATAAGGAATTCAACTAAATTAAATAAAATAACATAATGAAATAATAAAACTTTTAAATTTATATATCTAAAAAAGATTAGCGCTCAGTTTCATTTAAAAAAATACACTAATCAGAATTCGTTCTATAAATAAGATCGCATTGCAGTGTCTTAATCTACGGACTATTCTCTATAAGATAGGATGGTTAAAACGGAAATCTGAGAGATGAAATTTTAATTCTTAAGAAAAAATTGCCAAGGGGGGGTGCTTGATAATTTTTTTCGACGATTTTCAATAATTAATATCTCTTAAACTAAAGGAGATAGCAACCCACGATTCGCTGATTATGAAAGATTGGAAAATTCTGTATCAGATAAAAATATAAAATAATTATATTTCCTAAAGTAAAAGATGGAAAAACGCGACTAAAAGTGCTAAAAAGTGACATTTTTCAATTTTTGCCCATTTTATTTAATCGCGAATATCTCGTAAACTAAAAGAGATAATTAGGATCTGATCGCAGCGTCTTAATCTACGGACTAGTCTCTATCAGATAGAATAGTTAGAACGGAAATCTGAGAGATGAAATTGTAATTCTTAAGAAAAAATTGCCAATGGGGGGTTGCTTGATACTATTTTCGACGATTTTCAATAATTAATATCTCTTAAACTAAAGGAGATAGCAACCCACGATTTGCTGATTATGAAAGATTGGAAAATTCTCTATGAGGTAAAAAATTACCGGTACAATATAACAAAATAAACAATGAAAAATCAACGTTCTTTCATATTCGAGTTAATAAATTATAATAGTGCATTTCTTTCAAACAAAAAGCAATAGCGAGCATCGGATTGAAACTTATGAAAGAATGGAAAATTCTGCATTAGATCATTAGAATGACTAAAAGTACAATTTTTCTTTTTTTGCTCTTTTTTTGAATTGCGAATATCTCCTAATTATGTATTTTTGCAAAATTTTTTTGTGTTTGCGGTTTAAGAGCGATCAGCCGGGCCCCGGGGAATTTATCCGAGTTGACCCTCTCTCTCATCGGCCCGGCTCACGCATATACGTTTAATAACACTATTTTTATTTTATTACTTTCATTTGTGAATACGTAATCCATTGTGAATCCAATATTCACGTAAAGTTTATAAATAAATATTACAAAACTATTTTTATTATTCAAACGCACGAATTCGACAGATAATATGTAGTAAGTTGTTTCCGGTAGCATACCTCTGAATGTGCAGTTTCTTGTCTATTTCCATCAAAATTCAAAGGATAGGAACTACGATTTTGGCCAGATGACGTAGAGTATCGCAGGGATATGCAAGGTAGAATACGCATATAGGTAGAATATGCATTCTTGTGTACTGCGGCGACGTTGTTTTATAAATGCAGGAGCCACATCAATTATGTCAGCTACACACAAGTAATTTCTTTGATAATTTGATAGCCATATCGATATCCATTTTAATTCCTGAAATCATTTAAAATATACAATGTTACACAAATTGTTGTAGTAAAGCAATTGTTGATAAATTCATAATCATATAAACCTACAAAGGAAACCTGGCAGAAATTCTAAACTATGCATGTTCATATCGCACTGACAATTCACAACAAAAGAAATCGAATGCACTCAACTTCACTCAGAGCTAATCGCGCCCGGCTCAATGTGCCATTAGATTTTATTTTTTACGTTTTTATCCCACCAAGCTCGGTTTAACAACATATGTGCCCACCATAAAAATCTTGGAAGAAAAATTGAATTCATGTATAGCTAAATTACTACTTGTAGCTTCTTTTTGCTTTTTAGCACTACAATTTTTATCATTTTTCTATGATTCATATCAAGTTTTCTAAGTTTTCTATTAGTTTTCTAATATGAAGATTTCACCATTTGAAGTTTAATTAATCTTTAGCATGACACTACCAATGTTTTCCCTTGGTTCTAACTCCCCGGACGGCAGCAGAAACTACTACATTTCGTATTTTCCGGATGCCTCAAAATTCGAAATCATGTTAGGTTCCAGCGCCGATTGCACAAAGCGTGCGTCCGAAGTTTATGTGAACGCAAGGGGGCGGTCAAGCGGTGAATTTTATTAAAATAGTGGTAATTTAATTAAGAACCGAGATGATGGGTTGTTATGGATGGCACCGGCCGATTCGGACTGCCGCCAGACGCACAACCGGGTCTCGAGCTTCGGCGGCGGCGTTATAAACAACATTAATGCCACCCCCGAAATCCATCGGGCGTTTTTCCCCCTAGAGGACCACCTCCATCAGGCGCACACACGCCCTGAATTATAAACATTTCCAGGGATTAAGGGGCACCGCTAAGCTGCGGATTGTTGCGGCAACGGACGAGCGGACAAGCCTTGCGTCCAAAATGCTCCCGACAATATGCATACTCATTGCGTGCTATTTATTATTGATGCATAATGTTATTACAATGTGCAGGCAGCAGCGGCCTCAGCAGGTCGTGTGATCGATGGAATATTGGGACCTATGTTTGTTTGACGGGAGATAATTCCGTTTGGTATTAAGTGCAATTGGTGCTGCGGTCGTTAATTGCATAATTATTAGGTGATCGTATTATTTTTGGGGTTGCAATGTATGCTGAACTACGACAGATAATTACAAGAGCTTGTAAACGTAACATACATGAATCAGAATTGAAATGAAAGCCAGGAGCAATAAAAAATACTTTAGAATCTGCTAAAAAGTCAAAAATAAGTACCAAAATATTAATTATTTAAATAAATCTAATTTATAACACCGTATAATCGTTGTCTCTGATGTAGAAAATCTGTTCTAAAACTATCTTGGTTTTTAGGGTGTTTGGTTTATCACCAATAAATCTCGACATTTTTATGCAACAGAAACAAGTTAAACATGTTGTTAGAAAGATTGGATACATTTCTGCAACATTGCCGCCAGTTGATAGTTCCTGCGCGAACGAAGTTCGAAGGCGCGACGCCGGAAAAGTCGCTCGGCAATAAAATCTACATAACTTTTTAAACGCCCGCGACCAAACGGAATTGTTTCCATCATTTTTACGAGGGGCGAGGCGCGACTGATTAATGTCCGCAAAATGTAAATTCTCTTGTTTGTTTGCGACTTTTTTTAGACCGCCGACTGCCTGCATTCTCCACTATTTCAGAGCATTCAGAGAACACTATACAATAAAAAAAGCGGTGAAATAGCGACGCGCTCGCGATGATACTCGTTTGTGGCGGCGGAACACCGAACGGGAAGTGGAAATCATCATGAAGACGCCGGAAATTGCAACACATTTTTAGTATAAATATAAATGTAAATAAAAAAAGAATGAAAGAATTGTAATAAAAACATAAAATATGCCAAAAGAGAAATTAAAACCCAATACGACCTAGTGGGCAAAACTAATTATTAAGTTTTTAATTAAAAACATTTGCTTGTTTCAGGTTTCATACATAAAAACCTGAAAAAAGTTTGAAACTGAATTAATTTACTGCATGGACTAAACAAAAAATTATAAATTTATGAAAGAATTAATGAATAAATTTGTAATTGAAAATATTATTTTCAATTTTATAAATTTATCACCGTAAATTATTTCCACACTCGCTATAAAAAATGTAATAAAATACCTACTTTACAGGTTAGAACGTGAAGACGACATGTTCTCTCATCGGCATCCGGAAAAGGAATGAACTCGCGCGCGTGAGGCGGTATCGCCGACGATAGCAGCAGCATAGTGGCGGCGCGCTCGCAGTGTCCTTGCGCAAACAGTAACGATTTTTGCGCCGAAACGGGCACGGCAGGCAGCGCGCGGCGCGGCCGCCCCACGAAACGCTCAGTGCTGCGGGCGGCCGCGACGTCGGGCGTCGATCCCGGGGCAGTAGGTGCACGCGCGTCGAGACGATCTCGCGAAAGGTGGGCCACGCAGCCCTCGCGCCGGTGGACGGTACACGAGAGCATCGAGTGCGTGTGTGGAAAAAAATCTACGCCCCCCAAAACATCTCATCAAAAGGAAATTATTCCCACAGGCTGGTGAAACACAACGTGTAAAAAACGAAATAATTTCGATGTGAATTGGTGCGATCTAGGAGTAACATTGGATTTTGGTGGGTTCGCGTTTGCTTTGGATTTGTGGATGTTTCTTGGATCTGGACCAAAAACAGAACCAGGAAAAGGAAGCAGGTTTTTAGGCCAAGAGAGTTGTGTGTCACTCAATCAAAACTTTTATTTCGGAGCTCACAACTCACCGTGTGACGCGTAACGATAACTCGTGAGTTCAAAAACTGGAAAAGCAAAAATATCTAACCTCTAACCAAAACTCAAAAAATTATTAACTGTATTTTTAATATTAAATTGGTAAAAAATGGTAAATTAAATTTTGAAAAGTGTGAATAATTTTGGTGCTAAAATTTGTAAACAAAAATAGAATTAACAATAGTGTTAAGAAAATCAGTGAGCCGTGATCAAAGTGATAATGTTCAATACTGATATTCTGTAACGGATATTTGGCAGATTTACGCCTTGGTCATTGCCGTGCCGGACCGGAAGTCTAGGGAGTCGGATGCTTACATAGATCAATGCATGGTGGTTGTTTTGCCGACGGAATCGCTCGCAGGAAAATTATGCAGGTAAACAGCGGGGCCATAATCAAAATGTTAGTACTCTGATCTTGTCATTATGTAGGTGTGGTAAACACGAACTACTTAACCTAATCTTATCACGTGTGCGTGTGATAGGCAACTTTGAGTACATTTACATGCATTACAGCATTACAAGTGTGTTGCGTAGAGTGTGTTGTCTATCTTGAATCTAATCGAGGAGACAACCAACACGTTACGAAACAACTTAATCACTATAAGGTTTCCGTGATAATATGTTAATGTATTTACAAGTGAGACATTAATAGGTATTTTCCGCAAGTACACACTTCCAAAATATTGAGGGTGAATCTAATAATAATTTTGAAATATAAAACGTTCAAGTTTTATAAAAACTTTTCTCTGCTGTCTCACATTGGTCGTTTTTCCCTGGAAATCTCTTAACACCCGTGAGCGCATCCGCTCTCAACTCTTAAGTTATGTAAGATCCCGAGTCGCTGCGATACTACGATCCTTCTGCAGCGCCACGCCGGGAAAGGACGTAGATTATCCCAGGAGAGACGACACAACCGCCACCACCCCCTTGAAAAGGTACCACAATGCTTGGACCAAACTTGGATGAAACGTGGTCCAAACCAAAATCGAACAAAACGTAAAGTTTATCTCCCGAATGGAAATCTGATTCTATTTAAGTCTACGGCTAAGTCTAAAGGTATGGACGGGGCAATTGGTTTGTGAATGAGTCCGAAAATGTTGAGGCGGAAATTCGCAAACAAATTGTGAAATTTACGGCGACCGACAAAGCGAAACCATTTAAGATGCCATTTGATTTCTATCTTATTATAACGCATTTATGGGGTGAGTTGGTGAACGAAAGGTGGTGGCAATAGGCGTGGAGGATCCTTCTCTTCTTTCATGCGGAAGAAAACGGGAATGATAAGGGGAGAAGGTCGTTGGAATCGGTGGCATCGTTGAAATCGTTGAATTCGTTGAATATTTAGGCACGCAACCAGTCGAACATGTGTCGAGAGGATGAACGTTCGGCGGGTTGCATAGTTAAGTATGCCGAATGCGAAATACGAGTTTTGTTTTGTGGCCGGCCAACCGAATCGGAGGGAAATAATTAACTAGAAACGTGCTGGGATTCATTAATTAAACATTATACAAGTTAACAAGAGTATTTTACAAACAAACAACACATAAATCAAGCTAAATTTTTAATCCGCAATGCTAGAAAAGCTCTTAAAACTTGCTGTTTGAAATTTTTGAGCTGTATCAGATTATGGCAAAAAGAATGAAATAATTTTGAGTGTTCCATCACGGATCGACGAGCTTTAAAAAACTTTTTAACGGCATTTTATTCAGCGGCGAATGCAGTGCGACAGTTCGACACTTTGGCACTTCGTCATTTCCCCATCGCGGCGCGGCGCGAATTCTTTCATTTGTTCTCTTTGAAAATGTGCAGGTCGTGTTCTCGGTTTTTATCGGAAAATATGACGACGCTCTTTTCGGTCGTAGCGTGTCTCGACCGACCCGCATTCGTCGCAGGCGCGCCTCTCTATGAAATCTTCTGATTGGGGATTTGCGCGACGCGGTTTTATTACCACAATAAACCTTTTATTATGTAAGTCAACAGAGCGCTTACTTCTATCAAGACGTAAAACTAAATTGTCCGCACAAAGAATGCGCTCGCGCAACTGGAAAACACTCGTTTTTTTTTTTCAAAACAACGTCATATTTAAAAATACAGATATTCCTAAATTATATTCAAACTAAATAATATTAGCGAATAAGGGTTTATTAGGCAAAATTTAATACGTCATGAATAAATTAAAACCTTTCACACACCTCTCATCACTGAAAAACTACTTTATGTTAATGCGCATGCATTTTGCACATTGATTCGCACTTGTTTTTGTTTTCCGTCTGGATTAACAAACACCTAGCTTGAATATTAATGAGTCGGCCCGCATAATCCTCGGGCGCACGCATCGGAATAACGCGCGCGAGCACCCCGATCGGCGGCAATTAGCCGACCACCTGGTGCACACCACCCCCGACACCAATCGCCGCCTGATAGCACAAAATAAAACGTAAACTCTAATTCTAATTACAAATTACTCATTACGCAGTAAATATTACGCACGCATTACGCATTATGCTAACAGTAAAACCGTAAACGCTATAATTATTATATCTACGAGTATTACACCTGCCGTTATATATAATATATTAGACTCCGACATTCACAATTTACTATTAGCAATTTGCAATCCGCTTTTCGAGTTTTCGTGTTCCGTAATTAAAATTTACGAGTGGTGTTTAAATAATTTTACGACTTCGTTCTGTATGATGGTGCCGCCACCTATCACTATAATGTGGATGTGTCGCAAATGCAAATACGTATAATTAATGAATAATTAAACAGGTAAATCCTATTTGTGCGCATACTATCCAACGGGGAGCGGCGATCGAACGTCATACGCAAACAAATAAATAAAATATAACATTTGCCAGCACATAAAACTGATGCCTAATTGCACACTAAATTCATAGAACACCAAAACAAATCTTTACAACCTTGTCTTCGCTATCTTAAAAACATAGGACAATCAAATCAATAAAATGCACAGGTAACATATTTTATATGCAACCCAACATACGTCTTAATGTATGCAGGGAAGATAACCTTTTGTAAGCTTAATATTTCAGTATGTTTATCAAATAAATGTCATGTACTGTTGACAAGGATTGATATAGGTATAATAACCCAATTTTTGCCAAGTTTCTCTTGATTATCGCAAGCGATCCCCATTGAAAACTAATAAAACTTGCGGGTGGAGGACGTTTTGCCACACGTGTTGCATAACAACGCAACAAAGCGGAAGCCAACTTCACTATAAAAGTCTAAACAATCTCCCTGGCCGCCCCTAACCAACCCTGAAACTTTCGAATTTCCGAATTTGCCGAAAACTCCCGTATCTTCTCCTCGTCGGCGAGGGTTAATTCGCACCCGCGATGGAATAACGCTTACACGCTACACGTACGCACACGCATGCACGCGTACGCTAAATTGAAGAAAATTAGGCCCACCTCGTTGTCGTCGGCTAACTACCCCTAGTTGTCGCGAGGGCCTGTTTGAATTGCAACCGAGTGCGAAAACATGGACAATAAAGTGGGTAACTTTACCAAAATTGCGATGGACACGACTAACTAACAATTTAGAAGGATTTAATTAAGTTTATATTGGGATTTAACTAAAAAGTTCAGTTTTGAATTTTCATTTTAAAAATGTATTTCTATGCTATTTTTAGTTGTGTTTGCTTATTTAGTATCATATTAAACATTCCTTTGATATGGATTAGAGATTACCACTACCGAAGTAGACGTATTCAGATCGCGTCAGCACGCAAGAATAATATTATTGACTAATAAAAGAACTCAAAGCGATGGCACAATCCCCACACCACAAACCAACCACCCTTCTTAAGAAATTCAACTCACGCGAAACGCGTGTAAACGCGATACAATGACTTTTTTCTTCCGCCGAGTCATCGATTGCCGCCGCCGACGTAATAAATAGCTTAATAATTTCCATCCCCCAAATAAAGCGATTCAAGTTACATTCAAGTCTAGTCAAAAGAATGATTTATCATGCGGCTAACAAAGTTAACTAATTACAAGTTATTTATTACCATTAACACGCATACGGCGACGAAAATAATTTGTAATTTCATAAGCCACAAATACGTACAAGTGGGGTAGACGCGGGGGGCCAAACACGCACACGCCGAGACAATATGGCAAAGTCGCGGCGAGTTTTTCTTCACCAGAGCATTCTTGGGCGGCGGTTGACGATGGCGTCGTCGGCGACATCACGCAAACTCATTAGTCATCGTCGAGCGCAACATTTGTTGTTGGGGGCCTTGATGGCGTGCGGTTGACCCAGCGGCAATCGTTTAGTTGTTTGTTAGGGAATTAAATACACAATTCACGAGACACAAGCGTGGAATGTGGTTACACCAGGAAATAGTCATTAAAATACGTTTCCTATTTCGTAAATAATTAGTACAGTCCAATGCATGCAACAAATTACACTTTTTTCGGTATCTATGTGTATTGATTGGTCAATTGAATAGATTTTTCGTCATGTCCGAAATGTTTGTTTGAATTTATTGCTTCACGTATGAATAGAGTAATTTACAATTAAAATATATCATTGTCGGAGCGCGTGCGCGGTCATTAAAGCGTCGTTTGCATTAAAGCCCCGCGCGCTCGATTTTGTACACACGTGCATGCACATGCAAATAAAACGAACAAAAATGCAATTAGTTTGTTTCAGATTAGCGCTCGCAATCGTAAATCAACAAACTACGTAATTGAAATTAATTAAACGCGCGATATTTTTTATAAGCTCTGCGATTACATGCACTAATTACACCTTAGATGCATTTTAAGTAATATTTAATGCAAATTAAATAAAAATGCAAACTAGCAATGCATTCTTTTTAATTAGAAAATAAAAGATACATTTCCAATGAATATTTTGTGTGATTGCAACATAGTGAATGTCCGGTGAAAAGTTTTTTTTCTCATTTTTCTGTTCATTTCCGCATTGAAAAAACGTACATTCTCAAAGCGAGCGCAAACAATTAGTTTCATTGCGGAAAATGCGCCGACGGCCAGTGGCGCACTAGAGCGCCATCTACTTTTTCAGGTTAGGTGTCGGGTGTGTATAGTTGGCGTAATGTGTGTGGTCTATCGGTTCGGCGATTTCCAATTGCACTCTGCGTTCTCTGTCAATTTTTCTCGGTCATGTTTTTGCCGGTTGCTGCACAATATGGTACATTTACAGAAAGCGCAGAAAGGGTTGCATAACGAGAGAAAGGGAACCAAAGTGCGCTTTGGGAATTGCACAAAAACAGTAAAAGCTATTCAAGTCAATTGAAGTGGCGAGAGGTTCGCAAAAAAATGAATGGAAAAAATGTAATTGATAAAAATTGATTTTACCGTCGTCTGCGCTATTTTTAAGTCCTAATTTTTGTATCTATAACAA